CGCCTGCCTCTGCTTCTCAAGTGCTGGATAAAAGGTGTGCACCACCACGCCCGGCCCTCCAGCTTACTTCTGACAGGGTCTCCCACCAGACCTGGAGCACACGGATTCAGCTAGACTGGCTGGCCAGGAAGCATCAGGTGTCCTGCGGTCTTCCCTTGGAGCTGCCAGACCTGGCTTTTTTTTTCTTAATGAGTTCTGAGGTTCCAAACTTAGGTTCTTAGGTCCTCATGTTTGTGTGACAAGCACTTTACTGACAGAGCCATCTCCCCAGCCCCAACCTTGACCACTTCTCCTCCTGCCCCAGGCTCTGTGATTTCAGGGTAGGACTTAGGCAAGCACTCTACCAATGGAGCCCCATCCCTACCCTCTGATAATCCTTTTTCCCCACTTAGCTCTCTGAGGGTGAGGAGGGCACAGTATAGGGACTTGGTAGATATCAGCCACTGTTGAGGCTCCCCTGAGCTAGTTACTCTTCTGTCAGATAAAATTGTTATTGATAGCGAAGAGCTGATGTTTAAGGGCTTGGTCCTCTGGTCTGGATAGTATGTTTAAAGATGTACATACACTGGTTTTATCTTCACAACTGTGAGGTAGAAACCTTTACCAGTGCCCTCTTAGAGGAGGAAATCAAGGTCTAGGAAGGTCACAGGTCTCGAACCTATGTTGCAGCCCAAGACAGAGGCTGTGGCATAACTAGAATTTCCCCCCTAGCCTCCCTCCAGTGGGGAAGTAGCTGGGAATCCTGTGGTTTGCTGGGGAACTGAGAGGCAAGTCAGAACTCATGAACTGCGCCTAGGCTCTCAAGTTCAGGTTGGGCAACTTAAGACTTCTGCCTCGCCTCCCATCCTCGGCTCAGTGTGGCTGCAACAAGAAGGGATAAGGGGGGGATGCCTCAGCAGAAGGCAGGGCAGGCATGGGGTCCCAGGCCAAGCCCTCACTGACAACACAGCCACTCTCTGGGCCGCAGTTATCAAACTTGTCCAACAGGAGTGGCAGCTGGGCTCCTCTAAGGCTGCTTGCAGCTCCTCCGCCTGGGATGTACATCTTCAGGGAGTTTACCCCATCACTTGGAGCCCGTGTCCTCATAGTAACGGGGACACTGCAAAGGAGGGCTCCTGATGGCTACAGGAGGTGAAGCCTCTCCAGTGGGACTGCTGTGGTGGAGACTTTGCCCTCAGCCCAGCTGGGACAAGAAAATACCAGGGGTTTCAAAACAGCCAGCAGCTCCCATACAGCTCTGTTAGCAGAAGTGTGAATAAGCAGCTGCTCTCTGCTAGGATGAAGGGCAACCCCCTTTCCAACCCACCACTTCCTCCAGGTAATTCCTTGTGGCTGCCCAAAGACCAAGGCTGCCACATTTCAGTCCAGAGCTCCAGAGAAGGATTTTCCTAAAGAGAAATATGTGGTTCAAGGAGAGAAATGTGAGCGGGCTGGGGGATGTAGGGGTGTAACTCAGCTAGTAGAGCGCTTGTCTTGTATACATGAAATCCTGGGTTCTAGCCCCAGTACCACACAAAATGGACATGGCAGTGCATATCTATATTCTCAGCACTTGGGAGGTGGAGGCAGGAGGATTGGGAGTTCAAGGTCATCCTTGGCTTTGTAGTGAGTTCAACTCAAGCCTGAGCTACTCAGGACCCTGTCTGGAAAAAAGGGAGGGGGACAAGGAGGACCTAGAAGGACTTTGAAGCTTGTCTCAGAGGATGATGGGAGGACAGAGGCAAGACTGCAGAATTCCCTTTCTGACCGCTGTCCCTGGGCCCTGAGCCCGACACGTGCTCTCCGTGTGACAGCTGCCTCATCTGTCACTGAGGGAGGTGAGAATTTGAGGCCTCTTCCACACCTAGACCTTCATAGCCATTCCGGTCTCCCGCTTTGAGACACTGGCTGTTTGGGCTGCTTTCTCTTTCTTTTCAGTTTAGTCCCCTCCCCTTCTCCCCCTTGAACTTGGGCCATGGAATCTATCTCCAGGGCTGCTGTGGAGACAGCCTGATGGAAGCACTAAAAACTAGAGCCACGGCTATTCACAGCTCTAGTACCCAGCACAGGGTGGGGCACGTGGGAGTCCCTGAATGAATGAATGAATGCAGGTGCCTCCTCAGATTCAGAGTGGCTGGCTCCTGCTAAAAAGCTAAGAAAAAAATAGCTGGTGGGTGCGCTGGTGCACAATGCCTGCATTCAGGGGCGGGGGCAGGAGGACCAGGAGTTCATGGTTATCTCTGACTCCACAGCAAATTTGAGACCAGTCTAGGTTAAATGAGACCATAACAACAAAAGTATGGCTTGTTCTGAAGGCATCAGGAGACCTCTGAGAACCTCACAAGACTTTCCTGGATTCCAAGAGAAATCCCCATATTCCAGGTCCTTTGGGATTGGGTGCAAATTCCCATTTCTGTCCCAGTGACCTCACACTACAAATGCTTAAGTTCTCCCTCCGGGAAGGGTGATTAACTAAGATGAAGTGTAGGGGCCCCAGAACGGCATCTCGCCCATTCCTGGTCCCCACGTTCATGATATGCTTGGCCTCGAGGGGTCTCCTCTCCCCTAGTCCTCACATCCCTTTGCTCTTCCCATTCCTTTAGATACATAATATACACATGCCTACTTTTTTTTTTTTTTTTTGTCTTTTTGAGACAGGGTCTCCCTGTAGCCCCAGCTGTCCTGGAACTATGTAGACCAGGCTGGCCTTGAACTCACAGAGCTCCGCCTGCCTCTGCCTCCCGAGGGCTGGGATTAAAGGTGTGTGCCACCACGCCCGGCTATACCTACATTTTTAAAAAAGTATTTTGTTGCTCAAGCACGGCCAGAGGACGACATCAGGTGTCCTGCTCTGGCTCCGTCATTCTCCACTTTATTTCCTTAATGCAGGGTCTCTTACTGGAGCTAGTCCTGCAGGCAAGCCCCAGTGATGCTCCCATCTCTACCCCACAGAGCCAGGATTACAGGCATTCTGGCATTCTACACGTATACTGGAGATCTGAACTTAGGTCCTCATGTTTGTCCATCAAGTACCATTACCCGCTGAGCCATCTTTCCAGCCCTACTTTATTTTTTCGGGGGGGTTGCTACATAGACCACACTTATCACATCTGAAACCCTCTATCCTCCTGCTTCAACTTCCCGAGTGCTGGGATTACAGGTGGCCGCCACCATGACCAGTTTTATTTATGTATTTGTTTCTATTAAGGCACAGTCCTCTTTTGACTGAGGTGCCTCTGTGATCTGCAGCTGACCCACTTCTTAAAATCCAAGTTCAGAGACATAAGGGGTTTACTTCTCAGCTCCTGATGCTGAGGCTGGCCCTCAGTGCCAACTGTTAGCTTCAAGCCAAGTAGGTGCCCAGTGGAGCACTTCTGCAAGCATCTCACTGGATGCCCATGAGGCTGTGGGAGACGAGAACTGGCCCATATTACAGGTATGGAAACAGAGGCTCAAAGAGATTATGGCTTACCATCACTGACGAAGTCCAACTTTAAACCACTAGCCATTTTGCTCATTTATCTTTCAGTAACAGTTAAATCGGGCAAATACTCAAAAACACTCTCAGCTAACCTGCAGGGGACCTGAGCTTGTGGCCCAGCAGAAGGGGAGGTGTGACAAGGCGCCTTTTTTTCCTTTTCTAGACAGGGTCTCCCTGTAGCTCCAGCTGGCCTGGAATTCGCTATGTAGACCAGGCTGGCCTCAATCTCACAATTCTCCTGCCCCTGCCTCTTGAGTGCTGGCATTAAAGGTGTGTACCATCATGCCCAGTCAAGGTATTTTTTTTTTTTTTTTGAGACAGAGTCTTACTATATAGTACTAGCTGGTCTGGAACTCTGCATGTAGACCAGGCTAGCTTTAAACTCAGAGATCTGCCTGCCTCAGCCTCCCAGTGGTAGGAGTAAAGGCTGGTGCCACCACCCCAGCAAGGCAGCTCTTCCTAGTTTCAGACTCTCCATGTCAGAGATGAAGAGTGCCCTTCGAGTCTGCTAGGTCCAACCCCTCACTACACAAATGGAGAAACTGAGGCCCAGTGAGGTCATACAGAGAGGGAGCCACAAGACCAGACCCAACAAGCTCTCAACTGTGAGTGCATACTGCCAGTGCTCTGACTACAATAACCTGGCTGGGTCAGGCAGGAGAGGGACTGTGCCCTCAGACCAGTGGAGCCCCCGGACAAGCTCAGATCCAAGTGCAGAGCAGCTGGGGGAAAGGAAGATGGACAGAGATTATCAGTGACCTTCAAGAAGCGGAAACTTTGCACCGGCTTCCCCAGATGACAATCTGCAGATGGCACTGTGCCCTTGAGTGCGTCAGAGCAGAAGTCCTGGGTTGGCTATAATGGAGGGAGGTCCAGGCAGCGAGGGGTGGGGACCTGTGCCCCAGAGCAGGCTTAAGGCAGGTATCCACTCTCTCTGTGGTGTCCTGGGAAGAGGGAAGCAGTGAGGTCAAAGCTTATTCCTGGGCAGGTGTAACACCTTCCCACAAAGAGGCCAAATCCAGGCTGCAGGCTGCAGACAAAACTTGTTTGCACTTGTGTGGGTCCACATGTATGTGTGTGTGTATATGGAGGCCAGAGGTCAGCCTCAGTCAGGAGGCCATCTGTCTTGTTATTTTTTAGACAGGGTCTCACTGAACCTGGAATGCACTGATTTGGCTAGCCTGGTTGGCCAGTGAGCCCCAGGGATCCCTGTCTCTGAACCCCCAGCACTGGGGTTACAGACATATGCCCCGCACCGGGCTTTTTATATGGGTGCTGAGAATCCAAACACAGGTCCTCATGCTTACACAGTAGGCTCATTCCAGGGCCGGGGTTACAAGGGCATGCCACCGTGCCCGGCTTTTCCGTATGGGTTCTGGGGACTGAACTCAGGTCTCATGCTTGTGTGGCAAGCACTTTACTGACTGAACTATCTCCCCAGGCCCATTTCTTCCTTCCTTGAATGATGAAATTCAAGCGGATGAGTTGCAGGTTCAGTCTAGGAAGTCAGTGTTAGAAGGGAAGATTTTTGTGGTCTAACACCTATAATGTAGATAATAAAAGAGGCTGGAGAAGGGAAGGGAAGAGCCTGAGGTCAGAACTCAAGGGCAAAATGAAACCTGGCTCAGTATTTTAGCAGAATTACTGGTGATGGTGGGGGAAAATCACCAGTCTACCAAATTCATCTAACCTGCAACACGCCAACACACTCACCTGGCACCAGCTACTACAGCCCACCGTTTCAAGCACACATGACTGACTCATTTTGCAGATAGAGGCTTGGTATGTTTTGGGATCTGACAAAGCTCAAACCAGGGGTTGTGGTGAGGGATGGAGGCCTGGGAGGGCTGAGGAGGAGGTGAAAGGGGAGTGGAGGTGAAGTAGATGGGACTATGGCAACGGTTCTCCAGCCACTCAGCCATGAGCAGGAGGGACAGAAGGAGGGACCGCCAGGGACCCTCAAGAGCGGGAAGGCGCCCCAGCTGAAGAAGGCAGCCCAGCCTGCCCCTCCCTCCTCCCTCCTGGTTTCTGGAGCTGGAACAACAGCTTGGTCGGGGGGCTGGGGCCGTTGGCCACTGCTTGGCAGAGGGACCCACCAAAGCTGGTGGCCCTAGTCTTCGCCACCGCAGAGAGCCAGCAAGGCCTTCAGGAAGTCTCCGGAGGTGTCACCCTGGGGCAGAGAGAAGGTGAGGTGAATGGAAAGAACTCTGGTCTCCTTGCCTCCTAGTGGCAATCAGCCTAGATACCACCCTCAGCATCTCAGCCACTTCCCCAACATATGTGTGACTGTCGGGAAGATGTGTGGCTCTTCACCTTCTGGGATCCACAGGGCTGTGAGCGGCACTTCCTCACTTCCTTTCAGGAGCGGTTTTCTACCACCATGCTAGCTCCTCCTGTCCAGCCAGCATCGCCTTCCCTCAGGAGGTCCTGAGTCGGGGATCCTCCCTCAGGAGGCCGAGCACACTCCTCCCCCCTGTAGTTCCCCAGCACTTTATAGAAGCCCTGACACGGTCAAGTGACCCTCATCTGAGAAAGCGCCACTGCGAAGCCGGCCCAGGCCAGCACTGGGAAACCTGAGTGCCACTGCTCCTGAGGGGCTGTCTGTCCGTAGTCAGGCTGGGGAGGCCAGACTTCCACCCCGTGGAGCAATTCTTTTAGAAGGGGATCCTATCATTCATAATTGTTTTCGTTTGCTTGTTTTTGACAAGGTCTTATGTAGCACACGTTAGCCTCTAACTCATCATGTAGCTGAGGATGTCCTTGATTTGCCTCAACCTCCAGAGTGCTGTAATTACACTACGCCTGGCTACCTTGACAACTCTGGGCTGAGAATACAGCTCAGTGGTAGAGTGCTTGACAACTCTGGGCTGAGAATACAGCTCAGTGGTAGAGTGCTTGCTTGACAACTCTGGGCTGAGAATACAGCTCAGTGGTAGAGTGCTTGCTTGACAACTCTGGGCTGAGAATACAGCTCAGTGGTAGAGTGCTTGCTTGACAACTCTGGGCTGAGAATACAGCTCAGTGGTAGAGTGCTTGCTTGACAACTCTGGGCTGAGAATACAGCTCAGTGGTAGAGTGCTTGCTTGACAACTCTGGGCTGAGAATACAGCTCAGTGGTAGAGTGCTTGCTTGACAACTCTGGGCTGAGAATACAGCTCAGTGGTAGAGTGCTTGCTTGACAACTCTGGGCTGAGAATACAGCTCAGTGGTAGAGTGCTTGCTTGCCTAGGATACTCGAGGCACCAGGTTCAATTCACAGCACCACAAAAAAAAAACAAACAGAAACTCCAAAAGGGGGTCTGGGGATGTGACTCAGTTGGTAGACTGTTTGCCTAGCATACATGAAGTCATGGGTTTGATCCCCAGCACCTTACAAATCAGGTATGGTGGTCCACAGCTGCAATCCCAACAGTTAGGAGCTGGAGGCAGGTGGATGGCAAGTTCAAGTCCAGCTTGGGCTATAGAGTGAATTTAAGGCTAGCCTGGGCACCTTTGAGCCCCTGTGTCAGAATAAAAAAAATAAAAGGGCTGGGGTTCACTGGTACAGTGTTTATCTAGCATGTGCAAGGCCCTATCATCATGGAGCTGAGGATGACCTGGATGTGCCTTAACCTCCAGAGTGCTGTAATTTCACTACTCCTGTCTACCTTGACAGCTCTGGGCTGAGAATACAGCTCAGTGGTAGAGTGCTTGCTTGACAACTCTGGGCTGAGAATACAGCTCAGTGGTAGAGTGCTTGCTTGCCTAGGATACTCGAGGCACCAGGTTCAATTCACAGCACCACAAAAAAAAAACAAACAGAAACTCCAAAAGGGGGTCTGGGGATGTGACTCAGTTGGTAGACTGTTTGCCTAGCATACATGAAGTCATGGGTTTGATCCCCAGCACCTTACAAATCAGGTATGGTGGTCCACAGCTGCAATCCCAACAGTTAGGAGCTGGAGGCTCTATGATGGCAAGTTCAAGTCCAGCTTGGGCTATAGAGTGAATTTAAGGCTAGCCTGGGCAACTTTGAGACCCTGTCTCAGAATAAAAAAAATAAAAGGGCTGGGGTTCACTGGTACAGTGTTTATCTAGCATGTGCAAGGCCCTAGTTTCAATCCCTACTGCTAATAAATAGGTAGATAGATAGATAAATAAATAAATACATATTAAGGTGCATTCTTAAAGTAGGTCAATTTTATGGTATGCAAACTACACTTTAATAAAAAGGAGAAATGGGCTAATGTTCCTAAGTAAGAAATTATGAGTTATGGCCGAGCATGGTGGTACATGCCTTTAAACCCAGCCCTCAAAAACAAAACAAAAAAAGAAATGGTGAGTAATAAGCCTTTGGTTCTGGAACTTATTTTGTCTAAACAACAAAGCAGCTCTCCCTTTGTTTACCAATTCCCTGGTCATCTCACCTCGATGGCTTCGTGCAGCGACTTGTCGTACTTCTCAATGAATTCCCACCGGACATTAAGGAGGTCGATCTCACTCCGGGAGATCATCACCCTGGTGAGAGTCTTCTCATCTGTGCCAGCGCCCTGGTGGAGCCCGGAATGAGGGAGACATGGGAGAGGAAGAGAGTGAGCTAGATCGGGCAAGAAACAACGGGCATCTGCCTGTCTGCTGCTTCTGCCCTCCCAAAACAGGAGGGACATTCCACTGCCCACTTCCACAGTGACAAAGGAACTCCCTGGTGCCAAGGACTGGGAAGACAGAGAGCCTGTGTGGGCTGAGCAAACTCATGTCCAGCTGGAACCTCAGACTGTGTCCTTGGAAACAGTCTTTGCAGTGTTATGGTTTGGCTATGACATATTCTCCCCGAATCCCCTCGTTGGTCCCCGTGACGCTCTGAATGAGAAATGTCCCACAGGCTCATGTATCTGATGGCTTGGTCCCCTGGTGGTGGCACTGTTTGGAAAGGTCATGGAATGTTTAGGGGGTGAAACCTTGCTGGAGGAAGTACATTACTGGGCGGGGGACTTTGAAGGTTTACAGCCTTGCCCCACTTCCTGTTCTCTGTATCTGCTTCCTGTGTGTGATGGAAATGTGATCAGCCAGCTTCTTCCTCCTACCACCATGCCATGCCTTCCCTGACTGTCCGCCATGATGACTCAATCTTTCTGGAACCATCAGCCAAAATCAACTCTTTTCTAAGTTGCTTTTAATTATGGTATTGTATCCAAGCAACAGAAAAGTAACTAATACAGTCCCCAACACAATGGTTTAGAACAGGAGCTTTGGGGATGTGGCTGTCAAGGGCTCTGAGCTCAATGGATTCATCTGCTGCTGCATACACAATCTGATGGTGTTATGGGGAAGGCCTGGCTGGAGGAGTAGTTGGGAATGTGCCTCACAGGCTATGCCTCACACCCAGGTCCTTCCTCCCTCTGCTCCATGACACCAGGAGGTAGGCAACTCTACTCTGCCCCACCCTCCCTGCCTCCCCACAGGTCTAAAAGCAAACGCAGCAGGAGACCATAAGCCTAAATAGATCTTGAAGTTGATTTTCTCAGACGTTGTATGTCAGTGACAGAGAGCTAACGGGTACACCCTTGTAACCAGCTAAGATGAAGTCCCACTGGATTAGCATGGGTCCTAAACCCACTGGTGGCATCTTTCTAAAGAGAGCAGGGACACAGGCACACACACAGAAGGCCACATGAAGATGAAGACAGGGTAGAGTGAGGCTGCTGAAACCAACACACACCAGGGGCTTTCGGCAGCCTCCAAGGCACAGGAGCGAGCATGAGACTGGAGGGAACCAGCCTTGCTGACACCTTGATTTTAGAACCATGAGGGATTAAGTTCTTGTCACCCAATTTGGGGCAACTTGCTACAGAGGTCCTAGGAAACTAACTATGGTTATAGAGGCTCAGGGCTTTGCACACGGTGAGTGTTCAAGCTATAGGTATCATGCCTGGGGACCCAAGGTTGGGGAGGCTCCTTTCCAGTCCCCTGCCTGCCTGGCCCTGTCAGCAGCTGAGACTCCAGGGGCTGGTTGGAGAGGGTGGCCAGCATGGCCTGGGCTTTTGAAGAGGAGCAGGGCTGAGTGCTTGTGACCTTGAATCATCATTTGTTAAGAGCCCTGGTGTCACCTGCTCAACTGAGAGCTCAGTGAGGGCAGTGACTATTTTCCCAGCCTTGTGTCTACAGAGCAAGTTTCTTTTTTTTTTTTAAACCTACATTTGTAAACATTTATTCTCTTGAACTGAAAAAGGCATCATCACATCACACAGCAAAATTACACAGAAATTGAAAATAGGTGCAATGAGTTTTTGAAGTTTTGATAATCAACGAAGCGGGACAAACAGCAGTCTGAAATCCTGATTGGGAGGACAGTGCACATCTGCGTGTGTAGGTATGGGAAAAACAGGAGGGAAAGGAATAAATGGCCAGGTGCCTTACCTTCATGGACTTGTACAGTTTGTCAGCAAAGAACAGAGGTTTGTTCTTGACACTTTGAACTGTAAGGAAGAGGAGAGAGAGGCAGGAAAACTGGTCAGAGCTGCGTGGCCGGACTTCCCCCACCTCCTGCTCCCATCCTGGGTCTGCTAACCTGCCATGCTCAGGGGTGACCCTTGCCTTCCCCACTCCCACTTCATCCTCCTCCTCCTCTCCTCCCTACGTCCAGCTCTCACTCCCTAGCAGGCTGTAGTTCTCCTGCAGTGACGGTGTTTGCAGCTGACCAGTCAGTGGAGGAATGAGTGGGGGTTAAACCCTGCTGGATGCAGAGCTGCCATTTTCAAGTCCATTAAAAACATGTGAGAAGCCGGATGTGGTGGTAAACGCCTTTAATTCCAGCACTTGGGAGGCAGAGGTGGCAGATCTCTGTGAGTTCAAGGCCAGCCTGGTCTACATAGTGAGTTCTAGGACAGCTGGGGCTACAGGGAGACCCTGTCACAAAAAGACCAAAAAAACCAAACCAAACCAAAAAACAAAAACAAAAAAACACTGAGTTGTAGCTGGGCATGGTGGCACACATCTTTAATCCCAGCACTGCAACTCCAGATCTAGATCCAGGGGATACAACACCCTCTTCCAGCACGCACGCGCACACACACACACACACACACACACACACACACACACTCACACCAAAAACAAAAATAAAACATCTGAGTTTTAGATTCCACTCTAGGGACTCATAGAGACATTCTGAGCAGGGGTTTAACACCTTCTGAGCAACCTGAGAACTGGGTAGAAAGGTCCCTCCATGTTCTAGAATTCCTGTAATCAAGATGCATTTTGCACCTGAGGGAGATAATCTGAAGGCCTTCTATCGCCACCTGCTGGCAAGGTAGGGTGTTCACAGGGTGCAGCATATCCTACAGTTAATGAACTGACCAATCTGTGCCTTGCTACTTCTCTGCCTTCACACAGGGAGAAGCTGAGATTCAAAAGGGAAAAAAGACCTTTTCAAGGTCAAGGTCTCAGGGCCACTGACCCAGCTCAGCAGGTTAAGGCACTTGCCACCAAGCCCAATGACCCGAGTTGGATCCTCAGGGCCCACATGGTGGAAGGAGAGAATCGACATGGTACAAGTTGTTCTCTGACCACCACACACGTTACGGCACACTCATGCATGCACACACACACATTCACACACACGATAAATAAAATGTAAAAAACGATGGGGCTGGAAAGATGGCTCAGAGGTTAAGAGGACTGGCTGCTCTTGCAGAGGATCCGGGTTTGGTTCCCAGCACCCACATGGCGGCTAACAACTGTCCATAAACTCCAGTTCCAGGGGATCTAATGTCCTCTTATGGTCTCTGAAGGCATTGCACTCACAGGTACATTTACATACATGCAGGCAAAACACTCATACACATAAAAATATTAAAACCCAAAAGCTCAATGTCAAGATCTCTGAGCTGGGAAGATCACTTAGAGGCAGAAAGCTTGCCTAGAATGCAGGAGGTCATAGGCTCATACCCCAGTCTCACAAAAAAGAGCTCAAATTACACAGCAAAGAGTAACCAGAGTCAGAGGCAGGGAAGAGGAGAGTGCATGCATATGTGGTGTGCGAGCATGCGCCGAGGGTGTATCTAGCATGTGTATACATGTACTCTGTGCCCTGTGAATGCATCTTGCATGTTATGTGTATATTGTCAGTGCCGATGTGTAAAGTGTCTCATGTGTGGTGTGTATGTCTGAACACTCCAGTCCTGCTGAGCACTGTGTCCTCACCTACTGTCCTTCACCGCGGCCCTCCTTCACCCTCCTGGGTCTTCCCCAGGAGGCGGTTTTCTCAGCTTGCCCCACAGCCTGGAACAAGTCCTCAGATGGTCCCCAGCAATTACACCCTTGGCAGGAGTTGATCTCAGGCGGTATTTATTCTCAGTGCTGGCACCATAGAACACTCCTCCAGGGAAGCTGCCCACATTCCCAGCCCTTCCCCTGGCGCCTGCCAGTTACCAATGGCCACAAATGCATCCTTAACATCCCCGGACATCTCCTTCTTGATGACGTGTTCTATGTCATAGTTGGTCATCTTGATGAACTCCTGGAAGACTGGCCAAGAGAAGAGGGGGGAGGTGAGCACCAGCTGGCGGGGGGAGGGTCGCCTGACAAGCTTCCCAAATGATCACAGCAAGGACTGGGCACTGGGAAACACTGGGGTGACAGGCAGGTTCTGACCTCAGGACTGCAGTGGGCTTGGAGCCAAGCCAGGGCCTCCAGGTCTGGCCAATAGCCCCAGGCCTCATCAAGTCCTCTAAATGAGGCTGGGGTGTAAAAGGCACTCTGCCTGCATCACCGGGGGGCTTCCCCTCTCCGCTCCCTCTTCCTCCCTTACAGGTTAGGATGGTGCTTACTATGTAGTATCAACAACGGCACCCAGGAGGCTCCATACGCCCCACACGGGCTGAGTACTTTGTGTATTGTAGGTTTTTTTATTCTGGCAACTGTGAGGTACAGCTGAACCCCCAATTCTCAGATAAGGGGATCAAGGCACAGAAACCCAGTCACTTGCCCAGTCACATGGCTGGTAAGAGGACTGGAATCAAGGCGGTTCGGCACCAAGTCCAAAGCACCTTAGCACTGAATTAGCACCAAGTCCAAAGTACCTTAGCATTGAAGAGCTAAAACAAATGCAAGTGAAACCACAAAGGTCTCAGTGGAAAGGGAACTTTAGGATGGCCTAACATAGGGTTACTGAACACAGTTGTGGGAGCTGCAGGTCAAAGACTTACACATCCCCACCCCTCACTGCCTTGCTCCTGGCAGGCATCACCAATGGATCATGACAGCATGCCTCCAAATCCTTCCTAACACAGCATGCTAGGGTGCTACTCCCAGTGGATTCATCACTGGCTTCTAAGGTGAAATCGGCTTGTCATGCCTTATCCCAGGGGTCCCACTCGCTTCTGTAAGGAGGTGGGAGGGCAAAGCTGACAAAATGCCAGGACTCTGGAGCCACTGACACTCTAGAGGTGGAGGGGGGAACTGGGCACTTGGTTGCCCTTCACAGAGAGCTGGGAGCCTCAGGTCAGACTTGGGGCTCACACTGCCACATAGCAGGCTCACCTCTGCGGAGGTGGGGATAGCTACGGGTGCACAGGACTGTCATGAAGCGCGTCTCCAAGGAAGTTTTGTCTCCGCTGGGAGTGTCGGCTATTTCCTGCAGAGTGCAGTTGGGGCAAAGATTCAGGGGAGGGGGAGACACAAGAAAGAAAGCTGTAGTTATTACCTGCCCTGTCTCTGCTGGGGCTCAGGGCAGGCAATGAGGTTAGATCAGCCATTCGAGGGGCTGAGGGTCATCCCTTCCCTCCTCAGCCCTGGAGCATAGTGGCTGCCCTGTCTCCCCTTGATGTCCTGAGGACCCAGAGATAGGCCTGGTACTAGGCACAGGGACTTGGCACCCTTTTACCCTGCCACCCAAGGATCTCTCTGGGGAACACAGATGCGTGCGTGAGCAAGCAGACATGATCTGGCCAGCTCTCCCCAGCTGGGGTCAAGGACAAACACACTTTACCCTACCACGTAAAGAGGTTCCCACAATTCCCTTAGCCAGCTAACATTCTATTAGTAACCATTTACACTCCCCTTAAAATACTTATTTTAGGGCTAAAAAAAGTGAACCAATTTAAAGGATCATGGCTGGTGACTAGACAGCACAAACAAGGCTGGGAATGCATGGTTAAAGCTTCGGAAACATCTGCCTGCCCTCCCACTCTTTCTGAGATAGTGTATAGCCTACACCGGTCTGGAACTCTATGTAGTCCAGGCTGATCTTAAACTCCTAATCCTCCTGTCTCCACCTCCCAAGTGCTGGCATTACAGGCATGCACCACCATACCTGGCCCTTTTCTAACCAATAGGGTCCTTAAGGGGCCCTGAAGGGGAGAGAGAGAAGCCGTGAAGGAAGCCCCCTAAATTGCTACCGGATCCTGCCTGGCTTGGTCCAGCCCCAGCACAGCAGGACTTGACTCAGAGAGGCTGTTATATCCCCGTGAAGAACAGAACACTCACCAAGATCTCAGCAGCCACCTGAGAGCGGGGAAGGGAGAGAGGAGGGAGAGAGGGAGGCAAGAGTCAGAGGCTGGAGTGGTTGGCCGGAGGACCCTGGAGCCCCAGGGCCTGGCTCAGAGTGGCAGAGGTCCCAAGAGACCTCAGGACCATAGTGAGGGCTAGGGTAAGGTTTCACCTTTCTCTGACCTCTGGACTAGTGTTGGGAGTGGACGACGGCCTGGGAATAATTTTAAAACATGGCTCAGCTAAGGAATGAGAGAAAGACCCCAAAATGGAAACTACACCCTTCACACCCAGTAATCTTGAGTAGACTGCAGGCCCTGGTTGGTTTGTCTGAAAACTAAGAGAAAGCCCCCTTGCCCTCCTACAGTCACAAGGAAGGGGACAGAGGCAGGGGCAGAGTTTTCTGGAAAGACACTATCTCCTTAGCTCCCCAGGACACACACACTGAGGCCTGGGGAGTCGCAGGCATACAGAGGTGGGAAGCGCACATTACAAGTGTTCTTCAGAGCACGTGCACGGTGACCAGGGCTTTTGTGTGGCATGTTGTTGTGACCTGGAGTGTCTGGGAATGAATTCAGCTGGCCTCTGTGTACCGGGCAACCACCTTATTCTCCTGCATTGCCTGAAACCACAACAGTTAACACTTCTTTTTCATGTATATATTTTGAGACAAGGTCTCATTATATAGCTCAAACTGGCCTTGAACTCATGACAATCTTCCTGCCTCAGTCTTTTGAATGCTGGAATTATAGGCAGGTGCTACCATGTCTGAGGTACCATGCAGCTTTTAAAAAGACTAAGACTGAGGTGGACGTGGAGCTCAGTGGAGAGCACTGATCTACGTAATGTACATAGAAAGCACAGATATGCATGCATATTATATAGTGTTCCTTTTATCTAGATTAAAAATACTCATATTTACCAGGAGGTACATAAATTGGGAAGATCTGGGTTATAGTGTTTACCTTTGAGAAGGGGGGATGTGAGCAACTCTGGGATGGCTCCTTTACCACCCTGAAAGTTTATGATCCTATTTCTTCATCATGGAAATATGGTATTTCATTTGATTTAAATGTCAAGCAGGAAGCCTCATGGTTGCCAGGCTGCTCTGGGTTTTAAATACGTTCCAACCACCTAGTGGAATCTTGGGGACATGGTGCTGAGAGCAGAAAGCCAGCCACAAGCAGACGTGTCCTGTATGATCTTCTTACACAGGAGCCAGATTCACAGAGAGAGAAAGCAGGCTGGTGCCTGCTGTGGCAGGGACAGGGAAATGTGCACTCTCTTACACATGGCTTCATAATTTCAGTTTTGCAAAGCGACAAGAGATTTGGAGGGGGATGAAGGTGACGGCTGTGAATGTGAACATACTGGATGTCACTAACCTACAAATAATTAACACATGCTGGGAAGGTCGCTCAGTTGGGGAAAAGCACTCACTGTGAAAGTTTGATGCATTCGATCCCCAGAACCCATGAAAAACACACAACAAAACAAAAAGAAGGGTATTGGTGGCTCACATCTGTGAACCCCGAACTCCCATAGCAAGACGAGCACTGGGAGAATCACCTGGAAGCGTGTGGGGCCGGTTACCTTGGAGTATACAATGTAGAAGCAGAGAGACCCTGCATCGACAAGGTAGAGGGAGAGAAGGAACCCTGAAACTTGTTCTCTGAGGTCTCCACGTGTGCTGTGGTAAACATATGAAGTTGGGTTTGATGGTACAGGTCTGTAACCCCAGCACTCAGGAGGTGGAAGCAGGAGAAACAGGAGTTCAAGGTCACCATGTCAGCGACAGGAGTTTGAGGTCACCCTGGACTATATGTGATCTTGACCCCCCCCAAAAGGGAAGGTTACTTTACATGTATTTTAGCAAAAATTACAAAAATTTTAGAATACCTAGCATTAAGAAAATAAAAATAAGTCAGGCGTGATGGTGCATGCCTTTAATACCAGCATTCAGGAGGCGGAGGCAGGCGGATCTCTGTGAGACCAGCCTGGTCTACATAGTGAGTTCCACACCAGCTGGGGCTGTAGGGAAACCCTGTCTCAAAAAGACAAAAAAAGAAAAAAAAAATAGAGGGAGGAATACTTGTAAAAAAATTAAAGAGCCGGGCGTGGTGGTGCACGCCTTTAATCCCAGCATTTGGGAGGCAGGGGCAGGCGGATTTTTGTGAGTTCGAGGCCAGCCTGGTCTACATAGTGAGTTCCAGGACAGCTGGGGTTACAGGGAGACCCCGTCTCAAAAAGACCAAAAAAAAAAAAAAAGAAAGAAAGAAAAGCAGTCGATGGCACTGAAATTATACTCAACTCAAAGCTTCTCCTTATTAGCTTATCTATTCCACGCAGATGGTAATCTGGGTGGTTCTCAAAGGATTAAAGACAGCTATCACACAACCCAGCTTTCTGCCCCACACATACTTTCTTGTACCCGAAACTAGTACATAGGGCTTAGCGCTGCATTATTCCCGAGACGGGTGAAGCGGGCTGGGATGTGGCTCAGTTGGCAGAGTGCTTGCCTAGCATGCAGGAAGCTCTGCGTTCAGTCCCCAGGACTGTATAAACTGGGTACAGTAGTGCATGCCTGTAACCCCTCCCAGCACTCAGGAGACAGAAGCAGGAGGCTCCTGCCTTTCTTGGCTACATAAGGAGTTTGAGGCCAAAATGAAAACATGTGAAAGAACCCAAATGTCCTCCAGGCGAGCGGATAAACAGAAGAGGTGCGTCTGCACAACAGAGCACTCGGAACATGTATATATGCTGCCAAGTGGGCGATCCTTGAAAACACTGCGCTAAGTGAGAGAAGAGAGTTACGAAGGCCACACACACCCGACAGACATGAAATGTCTAAATTAGGCAAGTCTAGAGAGGCAGAAAGCAGATCAGAGGTTGCCTGGTCGGAGTGTTGGGAGGAAATGAGGAGAGACTGTTCATGTGTAGGGCTGCTTCGGGGGGTGTGAGACTTTTACTTACCTACTTATTTTGATTTTTATTCTATGTGTATGAATTTTTTTTGCCTGCATCTGTGTAAGTGCACCTGTGTCGTGCGATGCCCGCAGAAGCTAGAAGAGGGCATCAGAACTAGAGTTACAGATGGTTGTCAGCAACCATGTGGTTTCTGGGAACTGAACGCAGGTCTTCTGCAAGAGCAACCAGTGCTCTTAACTGATGAGCCATCACTCCAGCTCCCTTTTCTTCCTTTCTAAAAATTATGTTTACTTATTTATTGTGTGAGGGGAGTTTGGCAAACACATCAAGGTGCATGTGTGTAGACATCAGAAGACAGCTTCTACCATGTGGGTCTCAGGGACTGAACTCAGGACCTGAGGCTTGGCAGCAAGGGCGTTTTAACCTGCTGAGCCATTTGCTGGCAAACCATACCCCTTTTTACTGTGTGTCTACAATACTTACGGCATCTACATTACTTATTGCTAAGGGAGTTTGGCAAACACATCAAGGTGCATGTGTGTAGACATCAGAAGACAGCTTCTACCATGTGGGTCTCAGGGACTGAACTCAGGACCTGAGGCTTGGCAGCAAGGGCGTTTTAACCTGCTGAGCCATTTGCTGGCAAACCATACCCCTTTTTACTGTGTGTCTACAATACTTACGGCATCTACATTACTTATTGCTAAGTGTGCTGGATAGCTTTAGTGCCAACTTGACACACCTGGGTGGAGGGAGCCTCAATTGGGGAATTGCCTCCATAGGACTGGCCTGTGGCCATGTCTGTGG